AAGGTTGAGGCGCCGGTCTTCGCGCAGACCAGGGAATGGGGTCGGCTCAACCGTTCCATACACGGTGACAATGCACCTGCGCTGCAAAGTCTGCCTGTATCATAGTCATTCCGGTTGTGACTCCCCAGTACACGACCGATCGATTCTCGATAAAGGTCAGGTAGCATCCGTTCATCCATCGAAAGCCCCTGCGTTGTCAACCATGATAGAACCCCCTTGTCTTTTGCTTCCTCCAAGCGAATCAAGGCTCTCTTCTTTGAGGTTTCCTGGGATCCTGCTTTTTTCAAGCCTGTTATTACCATATGGCGGACTGCTGCATGAAGGGGCTTCGACAGGACGGCTTGAGCTCCGAAGACTTGATANTTTCCTGGGATCCTGCTTTTTTCAAGCCTGTTACTACCATATGGCGGACTGCTGCATGAAGGGGCTTCGACAGCACGGCTTGAGCTCCGAAGACTTGATAGTACCGGCCAACTTCATTTCGCCCGCATGTCGACGGAGATGGTGGTTGCCGTCTCCATTTTGTCTCTCGGCTACTACCTTCCCGGCCTCCATGAGATAAACTCCTCGAAGAGTGGGAGTTAAATCGTCAGATGTAACAAGTTTAGTCCATGACTGACCAACAGCTCTTTCGAGCTTGTCTTTGGTGATGATCTCTTTTAGTTTCTTGAGGGAGTCAATCAGAGCTAATCCTGTTGGTAGCTGTGCAAGTTGCGGTAGGCATTGCGTGTGTGTGTGTGTGTGAATGTTTCTCCACCTGCACTATTGCGGGGCACCGCGGTGCCCAACCTGCACTTTATCGGGTATCTGCCTCAATAGTGCAGATCCTGCACTATTGAGGGCGCCGTCTGTGCGCAGAGATTTTACCTGCGCTATATCGGGCGGTTGCACTATTCAAAGTGCACTATAGGGGGCCGGCCCACTACTGTATCTTTCGAAAAAGAACGATTTGGAAAGTGAAACAACGTTGGGCGTGATCGCGGCGTCGAGCTTCGTCGATAACCGATGAGTTTTTGGTGATTGGGTGAAATGCGACATTTTTGACCAAAATGACCCACGGAGCCCCCCCCCCCCCCCCCCCCCCCCCCCCCCCCCCCCCCCCCCCCCCCCCCCCCCC